TCTGATATCTAAATCACACACTGATAATATATTTGATAAGATGCTTGTAGTAACCGACTTGATGAACGTTTCCATGTTGAATCTACACAATCATGATGTATAGCACAAAGAAACAGCTATGTAAAAATTTATTTATCTTATGTCTCATGAATTCGATATCTAACTTCTTATTATTATATAGATAGTTGTTCGATAAAATGAAAGAAGATTGAAGCGGTTCTCAATGAAAATTCATCCTCGTTGTAATTAAAAATGAATTTCACATTGTTTTAAATTTTCCAGAAAAAAAAGCATATCGGTAGATAAATGAAGTTGAAACGTATGGTAATAAATGTTATTTAAAGCTTTTTCATTTTCGATTGTATATTTTTGTTTCTAATTTCAACATTTCATAACCTAAACAATAGAAAAAAAAAATTTTAGACATTACAGTCAATGTTTTATCTACCATGGAGATAGAGAGAGCAGCGTTTCTCTCCAAAGTTTGTGATTATTGTGCCATATACTGTGTCTATATTTCGAAAAATAGATGTGCATTTTTCTAGACTTTTAAATCATCTCTTGAGAAGAGATGATCTAGATACAACACTGACTCGTGCCAAGGAAGACATGAGATGATTGCAAATTGGCTCATAGAAAAGGTATTCATACTTTCTATGATCAACAATCATTCGAATTTGTCATTATCTATCTCTACTAATCCATCTGTCTTTTGCAATACGAACAGAAAAAAAAACAAAAGGTTTGACGAATAAAAGAGTGACATGGATGATTGGAATGTTGTTGATACGTTTTTTTTCTTTCCAATCTTTTAATTCAAAATAACTTATGCATAGCAAAGTGACAAAATGAATCAAAGAAAAATGTCTGATTCTAAAAAAAACTATAAGTTACATTAATTTTTCATATTTCGATTAATATTTATATTTTAAGAAAGGTTTCATGAGAACATCGAGCATTGCAACAAAGGGCTGGCGCATGGTCAAAGATTATAAAGGTCGAAGAAGAAAATCTAGTATAGTGTATCTTGTAGAGAATTTTGTGCTCTACAAAATTCATATCAAAAAATTTGAGAAAAAAAATATCACATCAAGTTGTAATTTGAAAGACAACGGAGAGAAAAAACATCTCTCTACCATGTAAAAGTATAGAACAAGCCAAAAAACTCGATCATTTAACCATTACACATTCAGCATGAGCATCAAAAACTGAGTCAGGTATCATAGGTGTCGTTAAAAATAATTTTTCGACAAAATTCAACTCGACTTCCTTCAGCCTCTTCTTGTAAAGTTTTTGTCTGAGGTTTCCCTTAAGTGAATTTTGTCGGAAAATTATTTTTAACGAAACCTATGGTGCCTGACTCAGTTTTTGATGCTCATGCTGAATATGAGATGAATTTTGCTTCAGAATGAATGTGTAGTGGTTAAATGCTCAAGTTTTTTGGCTTGTTCTACACTTTTACATGTTAGATAGATGCTTTTTCTCTCCGTTGTCTTTCAAATTACGACTTGGTGTGATTTTTTTTTCTCGAATTTTTTGATATGAATTTTGTAGAGCACAACATTTTCTACAAGATACACTATACTAGATTTTCCTATTCGACCTTCATAGTCTCAAAAAATGATTTGCAATGAAAAAAAAAGCCGCGTCTGAAAAGCACTAAGGTTTTTGAGAAGCTCGTTTTTTCTCTATGAAGATCCCACTTTTTAGAAGTTTCATAAGAGACGTTTTTGTTCAGTTTGATGAGTTCTTTTCCATGAGATGTTGCGCGAAAAAAGTGGATGAAAAATAACGTAGTGATAGGCGAAATACAGGAAGATATCGAAAAGCATGTGTTTTTTGCGATTTCTCAGACATACCCTCTTGTTGTCAAGCTTATAGCTCTGTCACATGTGGCCCTGAAAGTAAAAAAATTTTCATAAGCTTAGTTTTCTTAAAGGAATCGAATAAGATAAAAAAAAATGTTTTTTTTGGCCATGTTGCATTGATTCTCGAGGAGTTGGCAAAACCTCTCTTAAATATTTTTTTGAAATCAATATTTGTTATGGATGACTTCACAGTAATTTTGCATGCTTGTTATCAATTAGATAGAAAATTTCTTTTTGGCGAACAACATGCCACTTGACTATAAACATTTCTGACTGGTACGTTTCGTGTCAAAATACAACAAATCGATATGCAACTCATTTTCTTTCTTTCGTTTAGGAGTGTAAATAGATGCAAAAAATATCAAAGGTTAATTAAAGCAAAAAAGAAAAAATACAAGAAAATCAGTGGAGCAGAGAGAAAGAAAAATCTTATATTTGCCTTTCGTCTTGTTGATATTATTCATAAGATATTCATTGTACAATTTTTTCAGTATATATATACACAACTTGTTCGTAGATCATTTTTTTCATATAGTTTTCTGATTGTTAGTTTTATATATTGTATTATTCATTGAAGTATTACTATTTGTATAAACTTACAATTAACATTTACAAACATCTTATATTTAATATATTTACATACAGAATAGAATGGCGTTGACATTATTTTTATTTAAAGTATCCAATATTGATAGTGTCCATTCGAAAATGGAAGTTATTGGCGAAAATAATGATGAATCAACATCTGATATGCCAAGAACACAAATTATTAGTGATGAAAATGCCATGTTATTAAATGCTAAAGTCACATTTCGAGGTATCTATTAATAATATGTTAATATAGCAAAAGAAAAAAGCATAAATTAATGTAAAAAAGGATGATAAATCAAAAACTAATAACGCCCCCTTTTGTTTTTACTTGAAAAAAATGATTCATCTAAATGGATGGCATGATATCACTACAACTTGCAGCAAATCGCTTCCTCTAAAAGAACTGACTGTCCACTGTTCATATCCATTCACTACTTTGATTACGTAGCATCAAATATAGTATTTTTTGACTTTCAAATTCTTCATTTCCTATTTTGTTTTTCTTTTCAAATCATGCTTATTTAGATTTCATGATGTGAACATTATCCAAAGGCTTATTTTTAATGCATTTAAGGATCCATTGTCAAATTAATAACAACCCATGTGATAAATACTGAGAAACTACCATCGGCATACCACTCGGTATAACGTACAAGATATATCAGTGATAAAGCGTCGGATTTTTTTTTTGAAAGTATTATATCATGGTGTATTGTATCGAAACGGGTAATTAGTTTTGACATCAATTAAAATTGACAGAATTGAGTTGTTTCCGATGCCCTGTGATAATGGTGATGCATCTAAACTATCTGTACTAGCTATAGAGTCCAAATTGACCCGAGTTACGAGATCAATTTTTATTAGTAAAATATAAACTGAAACTGTTTTACACTCGGTTAGTTTGAATTTAGGTAGAAAACGCTTTCTTGAATCGTTTATAGTTGGAGTCAAAAGTCGTATGCACTACTGCTGACTCTGATGAATACCGTGATATACCAACGATAGTGCGAACAAATGTGCGACATGGAAATGCTGATTTTTAAATAACTTATCTATGTCGCCTATGTTTTTTTTTCTTTTTGTCCTAGATTTAGTATGCATTCACTCATTCATTATCGATTCTTATTTACTTTGTTCACGTCGAGATATATTTTGAATGTTTTGTATGAAAAGAA